GGGGGGCGGAGGAGGGCCCCAAGAAGAGTGGGGGGAAAGGGCCTGGGGAGAAGCTGGGGGGAGGGCCCCAGGGGAAGTAGGGAGAAAGGGCCCGAGGAGAAGCGGGGGAGGAGCCCAGGATGGGGGGAAGGGCCTCAGTAGGAGCAGGGGGGAAAGGCCTGGGGAGAAGCGGAGTGGGAAGGGGGAATGCGGGGAAAGGGCTTTCCCTTTTCTGGTGGGAAAGCAGCGAGCCGCTCCCACTCTCCCCATGGCGTGTGTTGCAGGAATCGCATGACGGCGGCCGAATGCCTCATCCACCCATGGATCAAGGTGAGGGGGCTGCTGGTGTTTCCACTTGGAACGGGGGGCACACAGGGAGATGGGGCCTACTTAGGCTTGCCAGGTGCTTTCAACAAAAATCCCGAACATGGCAAACTTGGTCAAGCAAAAAAAAAAAAAAAAAAATCAAGTTGCTGAGCCAAAAAAAAAAAAAAAAGTCACTGCGCCTTTAAATGACTCCGTGTTCCTCACTCCCCGGTCCCTGCCAGACCCGGCAGGGGAGAGCTGTCCCTGCCAGGCTTCTGTCCGAGGGAAACAGGAAATACTGGACATTTCACATGTCTGGTATTTTCTGTTTTTTTTTTTTTTACCGGACGGGGGACCCGAATACCGAACTGTCCGGGTGAAAACCGGACACCTGGCAAACCTAGGCCCCCCAGGCTAGTGAGGGATGCCCTTGAGTCCGTGGTGGCTTCCCTCTTCCCCCCCGGGCCCAGGCTGGGGTGGGGGTGTGAAGCCAAAGGCCAGGGGCAGAATTGGGCATGAGCCATCGAATATGAGCTGAGTCCTTCATGGCGGGGAATCCTTCAGACATGGCTGTTTCCTGCTTCCTCAAGAGCCTGATCCCCATGGAAAACCCCTCCTCCCAGCCCCCCCGGGCCCGGCTCCCTAAACAACCCAAGCCGGGGCAAAGAGCCTGTGGTCTGATTCTCACCTCTGCGGGGTGTTTGTGGGTCGTAGGGGATTGTGTGTGTAAAGGTACTGGGGTCCCTCTGTGGCTGGGGGGGCATGCTTGGGGTCCGGGAGGCCGCGACCACTCACGTGTTGCCCCCCTCTCCCTCTCCCGGCAGCCCCTGAGCCGAAAGCAGGCCGCCAACCGCAGCCGCTCCTCCATCAACATGAAGAACTTCCGCAAGTTCAACGCCCGCAGGAAATGGAAGGTAAATCCGGGAGGGCCGCGCAGGGGCACATCCCCAGGACAGCCAGGGGCGCTCTCTCTCCAGTGCTTGCCCCAGGCCAGGTGTAGGGGGCACTGTGTGGTGGGGATTGGGGCAGATCTCAGCAGGGGGCGCTCTCCCCTCCGTGCCAACCCCAGGGGCTCAGTAAAGCCTTTGGGGGCACTTGCCCCTCGTAATCCTTGGTGCACCAAAAGGGGGTGCCGTGTTCCCATCTTTCTGATGGCAACTGCCCCCCCCCCCCCCAAAAAAAGCTCTGGGTACATTTCCCCAACGTAAAAGCCACCGGCTCGTTCCGACTGGGTGCAAATGCCTCTTCGGTCCCTGGCCTAAACTTTACCTCAGCTACTGTGCTCCGCCCCAGAGGTGGACACACTTTAGTGTGTGTGTGTGGGGGGAGTAACCCTTTAAGATGAAAGAGGCTGCATAACAAGGGGAATTGCTCTGGGGGGTGGGGTGGGAGAGGGCTCTCGTACGATGTGGGAGCTGGGGACTCAGAGACCTTCACCTTAAGCTGCCCCATTGCGGTTGTGTTTCTCCTCAGCTCTCCTACAACATGGTGTCGGCCTGCAACCGGCTCTGCCACCTGAAACTCTTGTGTGTCCAGAGGAAAGAGGATGAGAATCTGGTGAGGCCTTGTTGATTAGCTTGTGCACTTGCTCCCTCGGCAGGCGGCACTGGGGTGGGGGGCGATGGGTAGGCACTGCTTAGGGATTGGCGACAATGTTCCCTCTCATTTTTTCCATCCATGTGCAGGGTAAATTTTGTTCAGTGCACTGAGGCATGGGCGGATGTGCACCACCCCTAGAAACACCTGCTGCCGGCTGTGGGCGCTTTGCTAATCAGCTGGGCAGCATTTGAATCTCTTGTGGGTGGCCGCCCAAGCGCTCAGCTTACAGGGACTGCCGGCTGGGGAAGTGATGGGTGAACAGGCATCAATTATTGATTAATGAGGTTGCTTTAATTCATAATAACTATATTATTATATTATATATTATTATTATTATTATTTATTTTCCAGGTGGGGAGAATTCCTTCCTATCTTAGTTTTCTAGTACTGGCATTTTCTTTTCTGTTTCGAGTTGTTTCAGTGTTTTACAGATTCATTGTAATGGTCCACCACTATCTCTTTCTAGCTGGATCAGAGATGGGTGCTTGTGGTTGTTTTTGTGTAAACTAATGTGGGAGGTGCCATGCTCCCACCCAGGCTATGAGTAGGGCAGCCCAGCGGGTTTCAAACTTTTTTTTCTCATGACCCAGTTGAAGAAAATCGCTGATGCCGCGATGCAACAGAATGTGACTGGAGTGCGGGCTTTGGGGTAGGGCTGAGGATGGGAGCTTTGGGGGTGTAGGAGAGGGCCTGGGTTTGGGGGGGTAGGACTGGGGAGGGAGGCACTTACCTTGAGTGGCTCCCGGTCAGTGGTGCAATGGCCAAGCTGCCTCTAGAAGAAGCAGGTTCCTAGCCAATGTGGGTGTGGAGCTAGTGCTCGGGGCAGGGGCAGTGCGCAGAGCCCTGTGTGCTCCCCACCCCCACCTAGGAGCCGGGCCTGCTGCCGGCCGCTTCTGGGGCGCAGCACAGTCTGTGGTGCCAGGACAGGCAGGAAGCTGCCTTGGCTCCCCCACTGCTCCCCTGATCCCCCTGCAGCCACGAGACCCAGGGCCCGACCTTCCACCCCCCAGTCCTGAGGCACGACCTGTCGTTTGATTCCCACTGACCTAAGCAAGGCATCGCTTCAGGCCGGCCCTTCTGCTTGGTGCCCAGTGTTGGCGTCGACCTGGCCTGGGGGCAGCGGGGCCAGGCATGTGGCCGTGCGTGTGTTTGCCAGTGTGCACGGGGGTCGGTGTGCACGAGGGTCCGTGTGCGTGTGCACGGGGGCTGGGTTTACACCCAGAAGCGCGTGTGTGCGGGTGCATTGTGTGTCCTCCCTCCTACCCTGCCTGACCCTCTGCTCCCTCCCCTTTCCCAGCGGGACTGCGAGAGCGACCAGGAGGACGAGGCCAGCCACCCGGTGACGCTGCTGCGCCGGCGAAGAAGCAGCTGCTCTTGATACCCCTGCCCTCATCACAGACTCCAGCATGCTCCCACGGCCCCCCCCACCTTCTGCATCCACTGGGCAGGGGCAGCTGTCGCCCAGGGAAGGGGGACCCGCGCTCAGCCCTGGCAGATCAGACACCCCGGGCCCAGCAGGAAGGAGCATTGACTTTGGTCGGCTGGGAGCGGGGTGGGGCTGGAAGCAGGGGTCTGCCTCTCCCCCCGCCCCCGGCCCCGCTCTGCCCTGCGGCCCAGGGAAGCAGCTGGCTGCAGGTGGAGATGGTGCCCGGGGCACACGTGTACGGGGGACACGCTGAGGCTGGGCCAGGGGCCGCCAGGCAGTGCCCGTGGGGAGAGGCATTGGAGGGGCGTGTGAAGCCATCCTGCTATTAACCCTTTCGTTGCCCTTCTGTTATGCAAAGAGACCCCGCCCCCCGATTGGGCCTTTCAGGGTGCATTTTCTGCACCCCACTTATGCTTGCCAATGGGAACCCCCCACTAGCTCTTCTGACTGGCACTTGCGGGGTTAACTGGAACCTCCCGCCTCCCTCACTTCCAGCCCATGTGCTCCAGCACTCTCAGGGTTAATCCAACTATATAACTCCCTCCTCCCCACACCCTGCCCCGGGCCCAATGTGTGAGGGGCTCTCTTTTTCCCCCAATACATCTGGGGTTAATAGGACGACCCTCCCTCTGCCCCCCCCCCACCCAGCACTTGGGCAGAGCAGTAGGGGACGAAGGGCGGCTCTACATGCTGCCCCGAGGTGCCATGTGCCTTTATCCCGGCTGCAGCCGTCCAGGGACAGCCAGAGCAGCCCTTCCCCGGCGCCCCGCAATCCCCTGCCTGCCGCCCTACGGCGCGGGGCAGCCCCCCGGCCATGCCCCGCCTGCCTGATCATTTGGAAAGAAATAAACATGCGAAGCATCGGCTCTGCCTGCCCTGGTTGCCTTTGCAAGGGGCGGGGTTGCTCCCAAGACGAGGCAGGTCCAGGGACCCCCTGCCTGGCCTGAGCCCCCCCCCAGGCAGGGGCTGCCTCTCCACGGCTGGGCCTCAAATCTTCCCAGCAGAACCGGCTCTGACCTCTGGGTGGTGCCAAAACCCAGTTCATGGTGCTTGGTGTCTCCATGACTAGATCTCCCAGGCAGGTTGCTACCTGGGCTGGGTGGTTTCTGCACGGAGCTGTTCTAGTGTGCTGGCAGGTTCATGGCATGCCTGTCCTGCTAAGGGTAGGAAGGACTAGTGGTCAGATGGCACCAGGGCCGGGCGTGGCCCTTAAAGGGACAGAACACCAAACAGCTGTTCCTGGCCACGGATCCCGACACCCCCCAGGCAGGTGCAGTCTATCCTTTCAGGTCAAAGTCCAAATGTCTTGCTCCAGAGCCAGACTCCCGAGAAACATTTTTCACCCCCCAATGGCAACAGGGATGGAGACAGGAGGTGGCCCGGATTTGGCCCACGGGGACAGTCCCTCCCGTTAGGAAACAGAAAAGGCAGCTGATGCTGGGGAGCAGCAAACTGGTGTGTGGGGGCATCTGCGGAAGATGCGGGGAGAGGCTGGGGATGGGAACAGCCACCCAGTCCGGTCCCTGTTCAGACCGGGTGCTCCCTCGTTAAATCCCTCCCTCTATTCATCTTGTGCGGAAAATTCGCAGCCTTCCGCAGGGCCGGAACCCAGGGGTGCTCTCGGGTGGGAGCAAGGTAACAGGTGGAAACAACAGCCGGCCTGGGAGCCGGCCTTTCCCCCTGGAGAAGCAGCGGCTCAGCATAGCAGTGGTTTGTTTCCTTAAGCTAAAAACCAGAGTCCCTAATTGTGCTGATCCAATGGGCCCCATCTGCCACGAAACGTAAGGACTGGGTCAGACCAAAGGTCCATCTAGCCCAGTGTCCTGCCTTCCACCAGTGACTAATGCCTGATGCCCCAGAGGGAATGAACAGAGCCGGGAATCATCAAGTGATCCCTCCCGTCGCCCATTCCCAGCCTCTGACGAACAGGCTCGGATACCATCCCTACCCATCCTGGCTAATAGCCATTGATGGACCTACCCTCGCTCTTTTTTGAACCCCGTTAAAGTCCCGGCCTTCACAACATCCTCTGGCAAGGAGTTCCACAGGTTGCCTGTGCGCTGCGTGAAGAAAAACTTCCTTTTGTTTGTTTTAAACCTGCTCCCTATTAATTTCATTGGGTGACCCCCTAGTTCTCGTGCTATGGGAACAAGTAAATCACTTTTCTTTGTTCCCTCCCTATTAATTTCATTGGGTGACCCCCTAGTTCTCGTGCTATGGGAACAAGTAAATCACTTTTCTTTGTTCCCTTTCTCTACACCAGTCATGGTTTTATAGACCTGTCATAACCCCACACCCTTGTCTCCTCTTCCCTAAGGTGAAAAGTCCCAGTCTTTTTCATGTCTCTTCATATGGCAGCCATTCCAAAACTCTCCGCATTTTTGTTGCCCCTGGGTAACATCATTTTGCTGCTGGGTATTTATGGCCCGCAGGCTAAAAATTCCTTTAACAAGAGAGGTCAAAGCTTTGTCTAAGGGAGGAAGCTCCCAGCTTGCTCCATCCTGAGCCCAGATGAGGCTGCAGGAGGACAAGTTTCACTGCTGGGCTTCATCCTGTGGAGGGGGGTGACCAGCCGGGTGCAGGGACTTTACCCTGTGCTGTATGTGCCACTGCAGACGTGTCCCGTCGGGCCAGGTTTTCTACCACGCCAGTGTTCCCTGTACGCTCAGCACTGGTGCGGCCACTCAGGAGACAATCCAAGGCTGCCCAGCTGATTAGCAGAGCGCCCACCTCTAGGTTTATGCTTCTCCTGGGGGTGCACATTGGTGCGTGCCTTGGTGCACTTGGCAAAAAAATGCACGTGGATGGAAAAGATTAGAGGAAACTTTATAGCTATGCCGCTGCCCTTCCCTAACCCTGACAGTGGCTTGCAGGGCAACCTGGCCCTAGTCTGCCCTCTTACTGTGCCTCCACGCTGCCCCCCAGGAAGAAGGGGGGAGTCAATGTTGCAGTGAAAAGGGCCCCTCCTTTCGGCCTCCTTGCTGGAGAAGAGGGGAGGCGGGAAGGAGCCGTTGCTGCTGATCTGCCTGCCGCTCGCTCGTGGGAAGAGAGGCCAATGCAGCTGGCTAGGGCAGGCGAAGATCTGGCCGTGTCGAGGGCCTGTTAGTGGTGCCCGAGCCGGTCGCTGGCTGTGTGGGAGATTTGACTCCCTGCTGCTCCCTCCTTCATCCGGGATCGGTGAGAGAACGGGAATTCTCCGCAAGAAGTTTGAAACGAGAGGCAGAACTCCCCCCCAACTTGGCTTGCAAGTTTTTCCCTGAAATTTTGAGTCCATGAGCATCTCTGCCTCCTGCCTGCCCATCCCCGTGGCATGGGAAACTGAGGCACGGAGCCTTGCCAAGGGTCGCAGAGTTGATCAGTGGCGGAGCTGCGGGGTGTGGCGAGCCCCCCCCTCACAGCTAGCTGAAGTGTTTGGGGATCTCGCTTGCCTCGCCGAACTCTCTGACTCCTTATTTCCCAAACAACCTCCCCCCCTCCTGCCCAACCCCATCTGGGTTCAGTTGTCAGGCTAAATATTGTGGATGTAGCAATCGAAAACAAAAGTGGACCGGAGCCCAGCCTGTTCCGGGCCCCGCAGCCGGGGCAGCAGTGGAAGGAGGAGTCTGGGCTCCTAGGTGAAGGTGGGTTCGCCTTGGCCCTGCCCCCTGGCTGGCACCTGGCCCTGCTGGGGGAGGGCCGCAGGCAGCTCCGCCCGCCCTTCGGTGCCCAGGTGCGCTGCTTAGCTCGCTCAGCCCCATGCACGGAGGATGCAAATCAGCGAGCGCAGCAGCTGGGAGCTTTCTCCGTGAAACCCGGAGGGAGGTGGATCGAGGCCAGTGGCGGTGGAGGCCACGGACCGGCGCTGTCACTGCCCGTCCCCTGGAATGAAGGGGGAGGCACTGGGGTCCCTCTGTTCCCAAGCTCCCCGGCCGGCGTGGCGCCTGCTTCCTGCCTTATAAGAGGAGCTGCCGGAGGCGGGGGCGTGGGGGGCGCCTTCTGCCTCGCTTTGGAAAGCGAGCGGGGGGCAGGTGGGGGCGTTTCAGTCCATGGACCATGGGGGCGAAGAAGGACACAGTGACATCGGCATCCCTCTGCTCCCTGCTGCTCAGGATCACGTTGCTGGGGCTCAGCCGCCTGCCACCCGTGCCCGCGCTGGCCACTCCTGGAAGTAAGTTTCCCCCGCCTGGCCTTGGACGTCCTCTCCCGGGTCGCTGAGACGGGCTGGCTGGGGCGGCCTGGCCTCAGCGGCGTCTCTCCCGGCTAAGGCAGCGGGCTGGGGCTGCGGCGGCGGTGGGGGCTAGCGAATGGAGAACGTGGGCAAGAGATTGCAGCTTCTGTTGCTCAGTCTGCACCTAACCTGCTTCATCACCGTGGGCAAGTCACAGGAGTACGGCCAGTGGCCCAGCTGACTTCAGAGGGAGCGCACAGAACAGGGCAATTAGCCGTGGGCGGTGTAGGGACACCCCAAGCATGGGGCTTTGTCCTGGACCAGCATGGCTAATAGCCATTGATGGGCTTGCCCCCCGGGAGCGCGTCTAATTCCTTTCAGAACCTACTTCTGCCCCAGTATCCCCTGGCAGGGAGTTCCACAGGTTGTGGGTGGTGGGCAAAGGGGTACTCCTGTTTGGTTTAAACCTGCTGCCTAGTGATGTCATGGGGGTGACCCTTCGTTTTTGTGTCGGGGGAAGGGGCTCCTCTGTGTCTGTTTCCCCTCTCCCCTGTGCCTTGTGAGATTGTAAGCTTGCCTGGCGGAGCTTGCTATGTGACCATGTAGCTTCCAGCACCGCGGGGCTCAAATTCTAGGTGTGATTGTCATACAAATAGCACAATAATAATAAGACCCAGGAAAGCATTGTGTATGTGTGTGGGGGCACTGCCAGCTCGTCATGCCCACCCTTGACTGGGCGTGATTTACGTTGTCCCAGAACTCGCTGCCCCTGTCTTTGGAAGCAGCTTGTGCTGCGCACAGGAGGCGTCAGGATACCAGGGTAGATGGAACCCCTGCTCTGAAATGGTCTGGTAGTTTCGAGGGCCTTTGTGGCTAAACATGCTGGACTGGCACCATCAATAAATGCTGATCCCTCAATTTTTTTCAGCGTAAGGATGGAGTAAACTGTCCCTGAGCAAGGGGTCACTTGACTTCAAATCACGGTGACCGTTTCTGGAGCAAAACGGCACCAGCAAGCGCTGGTGGGGGGCGGGGTAGCGGCCTATTTGTTTTTTTTAATGGACTTTTGATGGGCGACGAGGAGCTGATCCTGGGGGTGGGGAAAGCAGGCGTTCAGGCAATAAATAATTCAGGTTTGCAGGGAGTCGTGGAAAGAGACGAGAAAGTGGAAAATTGTAGCGAAGAGGAGGCGGGAGGCAGGAAAACAAAGACTTCAGTGCGGCAGTGGCCAAAGGCAATAGTTTTGACCCCTGCTCTTCATACTAAAGCCCAAAGCAACAAAGTGAGGCAGGAAAAATCCCCAAAGGTCCCATGGACATAGGGGGAGTAAGAGGAGGGTACGGGACTGGAAAGGGATGACAATGCAGTCTGGGAAAAGACCTCTGAGCTCAGCTAGAGTGTGGCTTACAGGCCGAGTCTGGGGAATGGGAACAGCTGGCTTCTTATGCTGCCTTCCCTGCTCAGTGCCTCAGTTTACCCATTTGTCTAATGGGAGCAAATGATCATAAGGAAAGACCCATCTCACAGCCGGGGAGGTTGAACCAACAACCAATGCGGGTGAAGAGCCTGAAAGGGAGAGGGGTGGAGCCGGGGCATTAAAATGGATGAGGGTAGGAGGAATAGCCCAGGGAAGATGCAGCCGTGGAGGTTTGGAGACCCCAGAGCAGGGTTGGAGCAGGGTTTGGGAATTTCAGGGGAACACAAGCTGCCAGGTCCTGCGTGCTGGGGACCAGAGAAAGTGGCTTTTGTGGTTGAAGCTTTTTATCACCTACACATGTATGGGGAGCCAGCGCCTGGGAACAGAGCCCTGTGGGTGCGTCTCTGGGGAAGTTGCTGGTGCCCCCCAGGGGGAACGCCCCTGCCCTTGTGACCCTGTGTGCGAGCTGTGGATTCTTCCCGCTCCAGCCCCTTAGGAAGGCTGCTGCATTCAGAGTGCCTCTTCCCAGGGCCGCTGCCCCCTTGGTGTGGGGTAGGGGGAGTGAGGAGGGCCCTTAGCACCCTGCAGGATCGGGGCCTTAGAGCTGAGCAAACCAGGAGCGACACTGTTCCTACTGCCTGTGATTGGTGGCGGGGGGTGGCGAGGGCAGAGACTGCTGCACACACTCGGGAGAGGGGCATCTGGCTTCCCCGGATGGCTGAATGGAGGGGTGTTGGAATTTTTGCCATTCCCATCAAGGGAGCCAGGATCTCACGCCTGGGGCTGGACACACTCGGAGCAACTGGCTGGTGCCGGTGTGAACAGACCTGCTGTGGTGCCGTAGACAGGGCAAGAGGCTGAGTGGAGTCGCGCCTGATTTAGGTCCGTGTAAACAGGAGAGTTGGAGCCCGTTGGGCCAAATGGAGTAGCCAGTGGAGCAGTACACTCTAAATAGTCCGGACAAAGGAAGGATTGTATTGGGGGAGGGGGAAAAAATGAAGGTCTGTATCAACACCTCTTTAGGGCCAAGCTGGATCCTTTCCTCTGGAGTTTTGCTTCGGGTTCTGGCTCTAATTTCCATGAGCAGTTTTGCAGCAATGTTGTAGGTTCCTTGGGGAGCAAGCGGGATGACCCTGGAACATTTCTGGGTCCTTCTATTAGAAAGCTTATGCTCCAACACTTCTGTTAGGATACGTCTATACTAGCCCCCTAGATCGATCTAGGGAGGCTAACGAGGGCGACCGGAATTGCAAATCAAGCCCGGGATTTAAATATCCCGCACTTGATTTGCATGTTCCCGGCCGGTCGCCATTTTAGAAATTGACTAGCCCGAAGTAACTGCCCGTGTCTACACGCGGCAGAGAAACGGGCTTCCGATTTAAAGCCCCTAATTTGAATTAGGTGGTAAACCTCATTGCAGGAGGAATATCACCTAATTCGATTTAGCGCTTTAAATCGGAAGCCCGTTTCACTGCTGCGTGTAGACGTGGGCAGTTACTTCGGGCTAGTCAATTTCTAAAATGGCGACCGGCCGGGAACATGCAAATCAAGTGCGGGATATTTAAATCCCGGGCTTGATTTGCAATTCCGGTCGCCCTCGTTAGCCTCCCTAGATCGATCTAGGGGGCTAGTATAGACGTATCCTAACAGAAGTGTTGGAGCATAAGCTTTCGTGGGCAAAGACCCACTTCGTCAGATGCAGAGTGGGCTGCCCATGAAAGCTTATGCTCCTACACTTCTGTTAGTCTCTAAGGTGCCACAGGACTCCTCGCCGCTTTTGCAGATTCAGACGAACACGGCGACCCCTCTGATATCTATTAATGTGATTCCCTGGCTTGGCCAGGAGTTCCTGGCACAGAAATACAATTTGTTGCTGCATTGCTGTTGCCTGGCCCTCGTTTACAGTGTATCACGAATCCCTGGCACTTGTAACCGTCGGGGAAAATCGCCTGCTGCCTGGCACGTGTTGTCTGGTTTATAGTCCGGGAATGAAAGGCCCTGAAGCCCCTCTATTTTCAAACAAGAGAGACCCCAAACTAGCGCCCAGTTTCTCCTTGCAAAGCTGCATGGACTGTGCGGGGGGAGAGGGGGGTGAAACTCAAAGTGTCAATTCAAAGAATAAAGAAAACCTCATCAAAATACAGGTGACCCCTGCATTTACGACCTAATTGGTTCCTGGAGAACCATTGTAAGTCATAAGTCGAACCCTTATTTCCCATAGGTGCAGTGTTATAAATGGAGGTTCTATTCCTGGAAATCCATTTCATACCCTAAAAACACCAAAACTGATGACAGAAATGGAGGAAAACTAAACTACATAGTTCAAATAATGCACAAAAATAATTAAAAAGTGGAGACCGATGTGCAGAGGTCAAGCGCTGCACTGGTGAGTCGGACTGGCCTTGTGGGTTTCTCGTTTTGGGATGATGTGTGGAGTCTGCATGATCCGCCGTCGTAAATACGAGCTGAGGGCGTAAACGAGGGGGTTTTAGGAGCTATCTTGCACGAAAAAGAATGGTTGTAAATGCAGGGAGTTGTAAGTCGGGCGGTTGTAAGTTGGGGGTCGCCTGGCTGGCCTGCAGGGCGGGGCGGTGGGAAGACGCCAGCGCCCCCGCCAGTGTGGCAGGAGGCAAGGTGGTTCATGAACGACCATGGGAATCACTGTGCTGCAGCTGACAAGCGTGCTTGCTGCAAACCGAGCGGAGCGGTGGTAAAATGACTGGCGGTGACACGTGCCACCGGCGAGGCCAGCTGATGTCGGCTGGCGGCTTGCCCAAAATGCCGGGCAGAAAGAGCCAGGCGCTGCAAAATGGAACAAAGGTGAACAGAAACGTGAGCCCCGGCCGTTGTGCTCCGTTGCTTCCCCCCTGGGTTGGTATTTCCTCCTGTGCAAACTAACGGCGCTCGTGCAGCCAGACCAGCTGGGCGCCCGGGGTCAGCGCCCCCCCCGGCGTAGTGCGCCACGGCCCCATTGTGGAGGAGCAGGCCTGGGAGGTTCGTGCACAGGTGTGAATGATCTCACAGCCTACAAGGCAGGGGAGAAACCAATGGCCATAGCCAGGAGCTTGCGAGAAACCAAGCCCTTGCGCCGTGGCGAGGTTGCTAATTCCCTGAGCCTCCTCTCCCCGGGTCGGCTCCCTGCGGCGGCGCCTTCCCCCTGGAAGCGTGCGCCTGGCAGGTGGTGTGTTTAGGGTTGAACCGAAGTTCAGCTGTGTTTGATTTGGGGTGTTTACAGTAAATGTCGTGCTAGGAAACAGGCTGCCTTAAAAACTGTGCGCTGGGTCGTCACTCGGCGTCAGGTTTCAGTCGGGCGGGATGGAGCGGATCCTGGCGCAAGAGTGTTCCTCGTGCACAACAGGAAGGGGCCAGTTGGCCATGGTGGTGTGTTTAGGGTTGAACCGAAGTTCAGCTGTGTTTGATTTGGGGTGTTTACAGTAAATGTCGTGCTAGGAAACAGGCTGCCTTAAAAACTGTGCGCTGGGTCGTCACTCGGCGTCAGGTTTCAGTCGGGCGGGATGGAGCGGATCCTGGCGCAAGAGTGTTCCTCGTGCACAACAGGAAGGGGCCAGTTGGCCATGGGGAC